CTGCTACTACTGCTGCTGCTGCTGCCTTACTGCCGCTGGCTGCTGGCTGCCGACTGCTGCCTACTGGCTCCTATTGCCGCTGGCTGCTGGCGACTGACTATGTGCTGTTCTACCCTATAGAATATAGAAGTGGTACTAGTCCGAAACCAGGGTCAAATGTATTATTCCCTAGCGCGCTCCCCCTTGCGTCTGCCGGGGTCGGCGGATTAGTCATAGTCATGTTTCTTCTCAAAGATCAAACATCTGCCGCTGAGCCTCACCTTTCTACAATGGGCAAGGGGGATCTGTGGGGTGCTGTGTGGACCATTCATCTAGGGCTGCGTCCGTGCCAAGGGATCTAAGCTGGAAAAGAGAAAAGCAAAAACTCATGACTTGAGGCAATTTTGGGGAAAACCATGGGAGACTGATGGAAGGGACCTACCCAGTAGTGGGGGTAGAGAGAGAGAGAGCAACAAAATTTCGATGTAGACGGCAAGAATTCCCCGGAGGCAGGGGGCATGCAAGTTCAAAGTCTTGACAGAATTGCTTGCACGAGTAGTAGAGAGATGTAAAGAGTGTAGAAATATGTGGAAAAACATACGCAAATGATTACCGTGGATGTATGTCCTATTATGCTTTGACATTTGAAGTCATACACTAAAGTCATAAAAACCCTAATATGAAACATTGAAGAGCAATATGACATCATAACAAGCAAGGTACTGACGTACACCCAGGACCACCATTTCTATACCGTTCTTTCCTGGGCGGGTGAAAACCATCGTTCCCGGGATGATGATCTGAATAGACTCATTCAATAGACCTTGATATATTATATATATAATGATATTTGATGTTATTTTCATATTTTTCATGTATATATATATTTCCAGTATTTTCTGGGCTGGTTTGAAATCATCCAGAAAAGGTGTGAAAAAGCAGGACTCGTCACGTCACTTTCTACCAGCTTGTCCATGGGATGCAGGATGGAGCTGGCACAGTGGACAGAGACTGACATCACCAACTGCTGGGTTTGGCCCTTGATGTCACTGGGTTTCTTCAGCTTGTCCATTGGTAACCAAGAAAAATATAGGACACCATTGGGACAATTTTAGCATCGGAAATTTTTGTGAATCACAATGTCCAAAATCCATATGGTGATGATATGATCAACATTGATCAACAATTGCCATCATCGTAGTAATGCCAAGTTTTCAACAATCTTTCAGCACGTCAGTTAAACTATTCAGTAGATTTCACTAGTACCGTAACATACCGTAACATACCGTAACATACCTTGCTACTTTCAACCCCTATCTGCAACCTTGGTCTGTCAACGGAGTGTTGCTGAGGCGGCTACTCAAGGTGCAATCAGAGCACTGGCCACCACATGTGGCCTGGGTGCTCAGTGACGGTTCCATGGGCGAAATTCGATGATTCTCCACTGGGTATCTATATCTATGCCTATATGCCCTCTGGTAATTTAACATAGCTATTGAAAATGACCATTTATAGTGGATTTTCCCATTGAAAATGGTGATTTTCTGTAGTTATGTTAGTTTACCAGAGGGTAATCTATAGATGAATGTATCTATAGTGACTGTTAGAAATTTGCATCTCAAAATGCAGATTCCCTGTGGCGTGTGTTGAAGTTTTGCTTTTTGAACAGGGTAATTTGAAAGAAGTTGATGAACGCAGAGAAGCCACAGATGACTGACTGAAATATTGCGGCTTTGCAGATTTTGCAGCAAGTCTTGCTCAGGTTGTGCCAGTTCTGTTTTTCAGGCGCAAATTCGTTGGCTGATGACTGACTATGAACAGGACCATTCCTTTTCACGTTGCCCTTTGCCACCATTTGGGCCAAATGTGGATATATGATTATATGACTGTGATTCGAATCCGAAAGCGTCAAAGCCGATCAAACAGTACCCACAAACGGGTATGTCTGAAAACTGGTCATATACATTTTAATAGGAAAACACCCAAAAAAAATCTGGGAAAGTCATGATTCACCAGTGGATTTCCCTGTCCCACAAGTGTCACATGTGTCACAGCATGCACGCGACGGTCTCACGGGGAGGTGTTGGACGGTGATGGCGATGGCGCTATTGCCATGGTCTTAGACTCGCCGATGTGGTGTGTAAGTGCCAGAGGGTCAGAGGTTCAATCAGTTCAAGGTTCGACCTGTTCGACGTGTTCGATGTGTTCGATGTGTTCGATGTGTTTCATGCTTAAAGTTCACACGTTCACATTATTTGACATATTTTGAATTATAGTTTAAAGTCAGGTTTTACGTGGGACCAAGATACGGTACAAGCATGTACAAGCACTTTTGCAAGATTTTGCATTTGTTTCCAGCCAGGAATGAATCATGTAACTTGGTGATTTGGTGCCTAAAATACTTGTTGATCGCTACGTCGCGGACATCCGAGGACCGACAAGAGTTCCAAAAAGGTCTCATGCAGCTTCTGAGAGGCGCCGCAGGGATACCTGTTTTGCTGTGCGATGATGGACAGATCGTTTGGAACTGAAATGAAACTGCTCTGAAAAAATGATTGGGACAGCAATGGCTTTGATCATGTCTACGCGTAGAGATGTTGTATACTGTATACAAAGAAGGCACGGTAAATGTTCAGTCGATTGCCACACTTGCGGAATGACATTTTCACGTTAGTTCCACCACGTTTTTTTTTGTTTTCTCCAAGATTTCAGATTTCACAGAGTTCACCGAGAAATTGCTCTCCAGGTTCCCCGCTGCTGAAAGCATTTGAACAGTGGGAACCATTGCTGTGGAAATTGGTCGATGAGGATGGTGCTGGCCCCAGTGGCAAGTGGCTCAATGCTACCCTCCGGTCAACCATGACTGGAAAATCACCAATGGCTGCGGGATTTCACAGCCATGATTACCAGAGGGTCATGTGTTTCTAATGTTTGTTTTCAAAACTATCTTTCAAATGAAATCACTCAAAAAAGACATGCGGGTCCTGACATGTGCTCAATTTTGACTATTGTTTGGCAAGGCAGCGGATTTGTATCTCCCGCAGAGTTGAATATGGCTGGGGCCCAACTGCGAATGCAAAGAAGACTTTTCAAAAGAAACACATGTGCTTGTCGGCTGTATATATACATATGTGATGTGTATATATATATATATATACATACATACATATATAATATATAAGTGATATATCCCAGTTCGCAGGGAGCCTAGATGTCAATATCCCAGGGATATTTCAAGACGCACGTGCTGACGGTCAGGCTTTCTCTGTAAGACAATTCATGTCGATTTAAGGCGCGGCAGCTGTGGTATATCGACGAGTGTTGGATGTGGGGTTGATCTTTATGTCCGTTTGAATAGGGGACATATGGGAAAATACCATGGATTAACCGTTGTGGGTCTTGGGGATACCCCATTTTCAGACACACCAAAAATGTGGAGAAGTTCAGCTTTAAGTGGCTTGCATCCCTCTCTCTGTCCATTTGTGTGTATGTAGCATGGGCATGCATGGGCATGGCATGCTTCTTGGTTTCTTTCAGTGACCTTTCCGTGCGAAGGCAGATCCTAACGGCTGCAGGAGACGCTTTTCAGATCCGATTGACAAAAAGAACGGTTTCAACAACTGCACGAGATTTACGCAGATCGGCAGGAGAAGAGATTTGTGATCCCCCTGTCATAACACATTTGAGAATCATTTGAGAGTTTTGCGATAGTAAGTATCAACTTTGGTCATTTTTTTCTGGTGAGAGTTTGATGAAATTTTCATCAGATCAAGATCATGGCCCTTCTTCTGCCGTCACCACCTTGAAACTTCCGCGTCTGTCCGAGAAGATTTCGGGTTTTAGTCGCTTGGGTTCGGTCGTCCCGGCTCGAATGAGCTTGGAGATACTTGTATCCTTAGATAGAAGGATGTCCAGTGGACCGAGGATACCTGGTTGGTGGTGTCACCATTTCAAACATGTATATGAATGTATATAATAATTATAATATACGTATATGCACACATCTGGATTATGTGAAAATGACTGATGAATTTTAGAAACACACTAATATTTCTGCGATTTGTGTCCCAACCACCAACCAGAATACCACCCAGTTTGACCTGTGTAAATCATATCTAAATTTTAAAATTCGCATCTGAATCGGGATGCAGATTGCAGAATGCTCTGTGAACAAAGATGGGGCTACAGGCTACACAGCTTCCAATGGTGGTATACAAGTCCTGATGAGTCGGCAGGTATACAAGTCCTGCGTGGACACGTTGCGAATCATGCAACTTGGCCGACCTGTCCAAAGGAGTTGATATGTCGAAAGATGGGGACCCCAAAGCCATTGATTTACCGACTAAATTGCTCTTGTTGTAGATAGTGAATGTTTTGAGCCTGGGAGATATCAGTGGAATCCAGACATGGCCGACACAGATGAGATGCACTAGCGATTCTTCTATTTGCCGGATTTGTGCAGCCTGGAGAGTTCTCGTTTCGCTGAGGTTTGGAGAAGAACATGAGTTCTTTCAGGCTCCATGGACGCCTTGTTTTGTCAGCAGAACATTACCGTTTGACCAATCTGCAGCCGAGGGAGCCAACAGGAAGGCGGAGCAGTTGAATCAGGAGCTGACGAGGCCGTGCATCACAGCAGTTGCTGCGGTGGCGATTAGTTCAAAGAGCGCAATCGACTTCAAACATTTTAAACAGTTTGTTGAATGACTTCGACCTCAAAGCATCCTGTTCGTTCGTGTGCCTTGTTTGAAGTTGTCGCAACCTTGGGTGTGATGCAGCAACGCTGACTGTTGGGCATGTTGGCACAAGCTCCACTCTTCACTCCCACGCAGATGGAAGCACCCAATCATATTCAATGATGGATGGATGCACTATCATCAATAATACTTATAGTATCTTATAGTATCATATAGTATCATATAGTTATATGATATTTAAGATTGATCCCATAGTCCAAATCCCTGAGTACCAGCGAAACAAATCCATGAGTGCCAAACTGTGCATGATCTCTGCAGATTGTGAGCTGCTTCAGCAGTGACGATTGGATGTTTGACTCCGGAAATCAGCAAAGATTGTTGCAGGAGGTCCCCACAAGCAGCGATTTTTCATGGACTTTGGCCATGGATGCCATGGCAAATCACAGCAGCTATTCGCTTTCGTTTTCGGATGGCCACTGGTTACTGGAGGCGGGACTTGATTTGTCATCCTGATATCAGATTCAGGACCACTGAAATCACTGAAATCACTGAAGTTCACTTGGATCTTACTTGGATCTTACTTGCTTAGTGTTGGGGGCTCAAAGCTGAGCTTTGCTTGACAGTGAGTGGGAGGGCGACAGGAACAGGACGAGTTTCTTGTTGATCTTGTTGGATAGGACACAAGCATAGATTTGACTTTATGTATCATCTTTATCATCTTGATTCTGTGTTGCAGGTGCTGGTGGGTGAGAAGAATCTCAGTGACTCAGCGCTCAGTTGGCCAAAAAGGGCTGGGTGTGCTGAACAGATCTGAACAGACTTGCAGCGACATCCCCTGTCCCCAGCAGGTCATCTGAATTGGTCCAGGTTTCGAAAGGAAATGGTTGATTGGAAGGTTCACCAACCCACAATGGAGGATACCGATGCCACAAATTCTGAATGAAAGGAGGGCTATTTTGTTTTGTTTTGTTTTTTTTTTCGCGGCAGGTTTTTTTTTGGGTTCTTGGTTCTATGCTTTGCTGCTTCTCTGATTTCTGCTTTTTTGCTTTTCCTGCTTTTTGCGTTTCCTGCTTCTCTGCTTTTCATGCTTCTCTGCTTCTCTGCTTTACCTGCTTCTTTTCTTTTCTGCTTCTCTGCTTTCCCTGCTTCCCTGCTTCTCTGCTTTTGTGCTTCTGTGCCTTTCTACTTCTACTATTCTACTTTTTCTTTTCTTCAGTCATGCGTTTTTGCTGCTCTACTTCCTGCTCCTCTGCTTCTCTGCTTCCTGTCTTTACTGCCTCTTTGTTTTTTTCTTTTGTTTTGCTTTATTCTCTCCTGTTTGTATCCCTAAATGAAACCCTAAAGACCCTAGGTGAAACCCAAAGAAACCCTAACGAAATCCTGACAAGAACTACTGACAAGAAACCTCTAAATGAAACCCTAAATGAACCCTAAAGAAACCACAAATTAACCCTAAAGAAGCCATAAATGAATCCCTAAAGAATCTTTGAATGAAACCCTAAATGGCATCCCAAAGAAGCCCTAAACGACACTCTAAAAAACCCTGAATGAAACCCTAAATGAAACCCAAACTAAAACCCTGAAGAAACCGTAAACGAAACCCTAAATTTTCCTAAATGAAACCCTAAAGAAACCCTAAATGAAACTCTAAAGAAACCCTAAATGAAACCCTAAAGAAAGAAACCCTAAATGAAACCCTAAAGAATCCCTAAATCAAACGCTACATGTAGCCCTACAGAAACTCGAAAGAAACCCTAAATGAAACCCTAAAGAAGCCCCAAATGAAACCGTAAAGAAACCCCAAATGAAACCCTAAAGAATCCCTAAATGAAACCCTAAAGAAACCCACATGAACGTTTGGAAATCGTGAAAAAACCTGATAAGAAACCCTACATGAAACCCTAAAGAAACCCTAAATGAAACCTTAAATGAAAGCCTAAATGAAACCTTAAATGAAACAGTAAAGAAACCCTAAAGAAACCCTACATGAAACCCTAAATGAAACCCTACATGAATTCCTAATGAAACCCTAAATGAAACCCCACATGAACTCCTAATGAAACCCTAAATGAAACCCTAATGAAAGCCTAAAGGAAACCTTAAATGAAACAGTAAAGAAACCCTAAAGAAACCCTACATGAAACCCTAAATGAAACCCTACATGAATTCCTAATGAAACCCTAAATGAAACCCCACATGAATTCCTAATGAAACCCTAAATGAAACCCTAATGAAAGCCTAAAGAAACTCTCAGAAAACCCACATGAACGTTTGAAGTACCAAAATGTAGCAAATACCATGCAAATGAGAGGTTGAAGTGCCAAAATGTGGCAAATACCATGCAAAATGGAAGGCGAACATGGCCAAATGTACAGTAGCAAATGCCATGCAAAATGCAAAGTAACCATGCCAGAATGTAGCAAATACCATGCAAAATGTTCAAAACTGTCGCAAATACAAGGCAAATGGTACCAGGAAAGAAAGCAAAAAAACAACCAAAACCTGAGCCAAACAAAATTTTCCAAAACTATTCTGAAACCATTTCAGAAATGGCACATTTTGCCGACGCCTTTTGCAGTCATCGGAGTATTACTTCTCATAGAATCAAGAAATTTGCCCAGATTTTAGTGCCCAGCGGGTGCTGCCAGCTCTCCAAACCCTCCCACCCTGGTGCTTTCAACTGCGAAAAGTCATGGCTTCTGTGCTGCTAAGGTATTGATCTTGGACCCAATGAGCTTCGAGTTCACCGAGATGATGGAATCCTTTCAATTGCACTGCCTGCTCATGCTGTCTTGGCAGTAGAGAACTGTAAGACGAAACTGAAGGCTGGACGTTTGGCTGTAAAATGGCCACCTGTACTTGAGAACTTTGAGAAGGATACTAGGCAATACTGGGCATGCATTCAAGTTCACATGACTTTTCTTCCTTTCCACTTAAAGTCTTGTTTGGTTTGGTCAAGTCCTGCTTGAACCTGGGGCTGCAGTTTTGCATCCACTGCCCAGGAGTGCTATGTGCTGAAAAAGTGCGAGCAGCCATTGATTTTCGCAGCCCCCAACTTTGTGGAGAAAAGTGTTTGCGTGAACCTCATTCGCGCAGCCAAGATGTATGGCAAGGCTGTGCCGCAGTTCGGCCATGATGTCAAGTATGAAATGCCCCTGTGGCCTGAACTGCACGCAGAGATGGACTCTGACACAGCCAGGGAGCTGGAATCTATCTACAGGCTGTGGTGTTGGGCTGGGAAACGAGCTGAATTCATGAGTGGCATCCACGGTGATTTATGTATTGCGCTTAAAGCATCTTCAAAGGATAGATGTGTCCCACAGATGCTGGCCCTTTAACAATCAAAGGCACAACTTACAACATCTTACAGATTGCCACACCTATTTTCCCGCGTTTTCGAGTTTATTCCAGATTCTGGTGGATGATCAGAGCAGGCGGAAGTGTAGTGGTATTGTTTGAGTTCTCACATTCCTGTTTGAAGATCAGGAACTTGAACATTTAGAAACATTCATTATACTGACCAAGGGTTTCGCTTCTCGTTGCGAACTGAGATGAGTTGATTATTCATGGATCTGTGGACATTTTCCATTCGTTACCGTGCCTTGGATGCTGGTGTAATTCCACAGTTGGATTCAACAAGACCTTGGCAATGCCGCAATACCATGCAATATGTTGAACAGCTGTAAATTTGATGGAAGTTCAAGGAATATTGAAGGAATATAGATGGAAGTTCCGCATAATGAAGGAATATGAAGGGCTTCTGATCCCTCCTCCATTTCTTTTATGATTTTGAAAAATGGTACACAGGAGGCTGGATTGCCTGTGTGGCACCGAGCGACGTTGCGACGAACAGCTTCCGCGCGTACATTTCCAAGCACCTGATATGGCCAAGTCACGGATGCCACAGGGCCTGCACCTGGAGACTGGGCAGCTTGATGGGCTGATGGGCGACTGCTGGGCTTGGGCCATTTTTTTTGGGGGGGAATGGGCCAATGGAATTTGTCAATCATTTCTTAGTAGACAGATTCAAGAGAATTTGGTTCTTTTCTCATATTTTCTCAAGGATTCAAAGGAATCAAGAATGTGTTTCTCTTTGACTAATCTGGTGGAGCGCATAGCACAGGATACCAATGGAGCGCCACATCGCTATGTCACTGCCTTGATCTACCTGGATACTCTGCCGGCATCAGGTGATGGTGCTACCACCTTTCCATGTGCCATGGCGCCAGAACCGGTGCAACGTGCGGGGCGGGAACTGTACAACCAGGGTGGACAACACACCTCCAATGTATCAGACCCTGAGCTCGAAACCTTAGCCCAGGAGTTGTTAGATGCATCAGAAGAATATTGTGGTTTCTCAGCTCTTCCTGAGCAAGGAAAGTTGGTGCTCTTCTTCACCAGAGGAGATGATGGCGCAGTGGACCCCATGTCGTGGCATGGCGGGGCTCGGGTCTCTGCTGCTGGAGATTTTGGAGGAAAGTGGATGCTGCAGATTTTCAAGACGCTTCCTCCTGAGATTCGCTCACAGAAAGATTTGCTGAAACGCTTTTCAGCTCGCTGCCGTCAGCCTCCAGAGTTTGTTTGTGACAAAGTCTGTCACAGACTTGGCACTGACTTGCTGGAAGCTCGGGAAAAAGTGGCGGCTTCCCCGCAGAATTTTGAGCCATCTCAGCCATCTCTGCCATACCTTCAGCTGAGAATGCGGCACAGGCTCTTGGGTCCTGAGTCTGCGGTGCTGGAAAAATGGAGCCCCTAAGTCATTGCAGATGCGAGGTGGAAGATTCATGAAAGATTGGCTGTATCGCTCCACAAGCTCCTCCCAGTGTATCTAAACATGTGCTGATGCTGATACTTTTCAGTGACCCTGAAGCTGGCATTCCAAAAGACTGCAAGGCCCCGCAGCCCCACTTATGTGTGTATATACATATATATATATACACACATTATACACATTATACGTACATATATTTAGCTCCAATCATCCAGCTTGATGGAAAGCTGAAATCATTTCAAAAACTCAACCTGGCCTTTTGGTTCAAGTTGAGTGCTACGTCACCTGCTCTTTAGTTTGCACCTTTGCACCTTTGCGACCTTTGTAAGGTATGCAGACCCCCGCACAGCAGGTGAGCCAGCTTGCACAGCAGAACTCCATCTCCACCTTGGTGGCCCGAGTTCGTGCACGCAGCGCGGGAACGCCAATGCCATTCACTTCACAGGGGCCTGTTGAGAACTCCGAATCGGGCAGAGGACCTGAGTGTTGGGAAGGGACATAGACCTGTCAGTGTTGGAGTTTTCTGACATTTCTATACATTTCTGAGTTGTGCATCAGCTTCAGATAGCTTAAGCTACGTAGTTTCCAGTCACATGTTTTTCCCACTGATTCATGATTGCAGCACAGATTGATCCAAGAGTGTTTTTGCTCGCAGTTGACAATCTTTGAATGGTTTCTGACTTCCTGTGACTTTGAGTGGTGAGCGGCAGGATATACTCTCGGCAGGGAGTACCCCACGATGGGTCATGGCGACATGTTTTCTGGCATTGTGACTCCCGTTGCACTCAGTTTGACATTCTGCATCATGATTGGCAAAACTCTTGCCAAGTGATTCAGTCTCCATCTGGGCCATGCAACAAAGTCTTGGCCTTTGAAATCAGATGTCTCTTGAAGTTCCTGTACAGTTCCGCCCTTTTTGCCACGGAACCGGGTCCCTGATCCGCCGTTGTGGTTCTCGAGGGCGAACCAAAGTGTTTGTTGCTGCCCATGTTGGCGACAGACCAAAGACACCCAACAATGAAAATGCCCGAAGCAATAAAGAGAATCAAGTTTCGGTTCGAGTTGTGAACACTTGAATGTGTGATCCTTACCTGAACTTAGGAAACCTTTCCCGCATTTTCCGACTGGATTGATTGTGTTTCACTTAGTGCAAAGTGCCGTAGACCAAGCATTTGCATTGCTAGAAGATGATGAGAGATGACCTATCCTGACATCCGTAAAGCTTGGGATTGCTTTGAATACTACAATCTCAGCAAACTCACTGCATAAATCATCATAAATCATTCTGATCTCATGAGCACCATGGGCATTTTGGGCATTTTGGGCATTTTGGGCATTTTGGTTCAAGTTGAGTGCCACGTCACCTGCTCTTTAGTTTGCACCTTTGCGCCTTTGCGACCTTTGTAAGGTATGCAGACCCCCGCACAGCAGGTGAGCCAGCTTGCACAGCAGAACTCCATCTCCACCTTGGTGGCCCGAGTTCGTGCACGCAGCGCGGGAACGCCAATGCCATTCACTTCACAGGGGCCTGTTGAGAACTCCGAATCGGGCAGAGGACCTGAGTGTTGGGAAGGGACATAGACCTGTCAGTGTTGGAGTTTTCTGACATTTCTATACATTTCTGAGTTGTGCATCAGCTTCAGATAGCTTAAGCTACGTAGTTTCCAGTCACATGTTTTTCCCACTGATTCATGATTGCAGCACAGATTGATCCAAGAGTGTTTTTGCTCAAAGTTGACAATCTTTGAATGGTTTCTGACTTCCTGTGACTTTGAGTGGTGAGCGGCAGGATACACTCTCGGCAGGGAGTACCCCACGATGGGTCATGGCGACATGTTTTCTGGCATTGTGACTCCCGTTGCACTCAGTTTGACATTCTGCATCATGATTGGCAAAACTCTTGCCAAGTGATTCAGTCTCCATCTGGGCCATGCAACAAAGTCTTGGCCTTTGAAATCAGATGTCTCTTGAAGTTCCTGTACAGTTCCGCCCTTTTTGCCACGGAACCGGGTCCCTGATCCGCCGTTGTGGTTCTCGAGGGCGAACCAAAGTGTTTGTTGCTGCCCATGTTGGCGACAGACCAAAGACACCCAACAATGAAAATGCCCGAAGCAATAAAGAGAATCAAGTTTCGGTTCGAGTTGTGAACACTTAAATGTGTGATCCTTATCTGAACTTAGGAAACCTTTCCCGCATTTTCCGACTGGATTGATTGTGTTTCACTTAGTGCAAAGTGCCGTAGACCAAGCATTTGAATTGCTAGAAGATGATGGGAGATGACCTATCCTGACATCCGTAAAGCTTTGGATTGCTTTGAATACTACAATCTCAGCAAACTCACTGCATAAATCATCATAAATCATTCTGATCTCATGAGCACCATGGGCATTTTGGGCATTTTGGTTCAAGTTGAGTGCCACGTCACCTGCTCTTTAGTTTGCACCTTTGCGCCTTTGCGACCTTTGTAAGGTATGCAGACCCCCGCACAGCAGGTGAGCCAGCTTGCACAGCAGAACTCCATCTCCACCTTGGTGGCCCGAGTTCGTGCACGCAGCGCGGGAACGCCAATGCCATTCACTTCACAGGGGCCTGTTGAGAACTCCGAATCGGGCAGAGGACCTGAGTGTTGGGAAGGGACATAGACCTGTCAGTGTTGGAGTTTTCTGACATTTCTATACATTTCTGAGTTGTGCATCAGCTTCAGATAGCTTAAGCTACGTAGTTTCCAGTCACATGTTTTTCCCACTGATTCATGATTGCAGCACAGATTGATCCAAGAGTGTTTTTGCTCGCAGTTGACAATCTTTGAATGGTTTCTGACTTCCTGTGACTTTGAGTGGTGAGCGGCAGGATATACTCTCGGCAGGGAGTACCCCACGATGGGTCATGGCGACATGTTTTCTGGCATTGTGACTCCCGTTGCACTCAGTTTGACATTCTGCATCATGATTGGCAAAACTCTTGCCAAGTGATTCAGTCTCCATCTGGGCCATGCAACAAAGTCTTGGCCTTTGAAATCAGATGTCTCTTGAAGTTCCTGTACAGTTCCGCCCTTTTTGCCACGGAACCGGGTCCCTGATCCGCCGTTGTGGTTCTCGAGGGCGAACCAAAGTGTTTGTTGCTGCCCATGTTGGCGACAGACCAAAGACACCCAACAACGAAAATGCCCGAAGCAATAAAGAGAATCAAGTTTCGGTTCGAGTTGTGAACACTTAAATGTGTGATCCTTATCTGAACTTAGGAAACCTTTCCCACATTTTCCGACTGGATTGATTGTGTTTCACTTAGTGCAAAGTGCCGTAGACCAAGCATTTGCATTGCTAGAAGATGATGGGAGATGACCTATCCTGACATCCGTAAAGCTTTGGATTGCTTTGAATACTACAATCTCAGCAAACTCACTGCATAAATCATCATAAATCATTCTGATCTCATGAGCACCATGGGCATTTTGGGCATTTTGGTTCAAGTTGAGTGCCACGTCACCTGCTCTTTAGTTTGCACCTTTGCGCCTTTGTGACCTTTGTAAGGTATGCAGACCCCCGCACAGCAGGTGAGCCAGCTTGCACAGCAGAACTCCATCTCCACCTTGGTGGCCCGAGTTCGTGCACGCAGCGCGGGAACGCCAATGCCATTCACTTCACAGGGGCCTGTTGAGAACTCCGAATCGGGCAGAGGACCTGAGTGTTGGGAAGGGACATAGACCTGTCAGTGTTGGAGTTTTCTGACATTTCTATACATTTCTGAGTTGTGCATCAGCTTCAGATAGCTTAAGCTACGTAGTTTCCAGTCACATGTTTTTCCCACTGATTCATGATTGCAGCACAGATTGATCCAAGAGTGTTTTTGCTCGCAGTTGACAATCTTTGAATGGATTCTGACTTCCTGTGACTTGGAGTGGTGAGCGGCAGGATACACTCTCGGCAGGGACTACCCCACGATGGGTCATGGCGACATGTTTTCTGGCATTGTGACTCCCGTTGCACTCAGTTTGACATTCTGCATCATGATTGGCAAAACTCTTGCCAAGTGATTCAGTCTCCATCTGGGCCATGCAACAAAGTCTTGGCCTTTGAAATCAGATGTCTCTTGAAGTTCCTGTACAGTTCCGCCCTTTGGGCCACGGAACCGGGTCCCTGATCCGCCGTTGTGGTTCTTGAGGGCGAACCAAAGTGTTTGTTGCTGCCCATGTTGGCGACAGACCAAAGACACCCAACAATGAAAATGCCCGACAAGAAAGTGATTTCTGTTTTCCTGCTGGAATTTAGTCTTGTCAGCAGAAATCCAGCATATTCTGCCGTTAGAATAGGCGATGCAGTCGATTTTGAATCTCCGTTCACAGAGGGGTGTATCTCCTCTGTCAATTCTGTTTTTGACTCTATCATCTGTAATGCTTGATATAGTCCGCTCATGGAAGGGACTGAAGATGGATACTGTATGATACTGCCTGCTTTGTTTTTGAGTCTCCTTTTGTAGACTTGATGTGAGAATTTTCGCAGACGATGCTGGATCCATCCCTGATATGATAGATATGGACGCAACATGTGATGCAGACCCTGAAGCCGAAATGGTGCCAAGCTGGCATGAGACTGCATGAAATTGCATGCACATTGCATGAAATTACATGAAGTCAACAACGTCCAAACAGGTTTTGGGACCTTTTATTTTGGCTGGCCGTGAGTCATGATTACTTCAAGTACAGGCACCAGCATTTTCCAGCATTTTCCAGCATTTTCCAGCTTTTTAATCAGTTAACCCAGCAAAAAGTCATCCTGATCAGCAAAAAAACCCAGCATAACCCAGCCATCTTTGTGGGACAGAAACCTCAGCCTGGTGCCATGCGCCTTGATGGCCTTTTCCAACTTCAAGGGGACTCTGAGGTGCCAATGTAGCAACGGATGAAGGGAGGAAATTGAAAGTATGATGTTGGGACGTTGGGATATATCAATCACACAGACATTTATATATATATATTTATAGACAGATAATATGTAATCCATCGGAATCCATAATCCATCTGTATATCTATATATCCATCGGAATCCATCTGTATATTTAGATATCAATATTGACATTTTATTGTGTAGACGAATGTAGATGGTTATTTTTGAGCAGCCTGTGATTTTCCATGTCATTCTTCAGTGGCTCCAGCCGGCTCAGGTGGGCGGGTGACCCCACCAAATGCCTGGACGTGCAAGGAGGGAGACCCTTAGTTGGGACACCGGTGGGATTATGGGCGTGCCGCGCCGAACATCCAAATCAGCTGGGGCCCAAGCCGCTGCCAAGATGCCAAGAGTGGTGGCATATGGCATGGTTGGGTAGAGGTGAAGCGGCTTCCGCAAGAACTCAGGCAATTCTCTTGGAACTCTGATGGCAGGTGGGCGTGTATCGGAAGAAGACTGAATTGTCAAAGGCGATTTGTTTGCACAATAGTTGATTATTTGTTCAGATCGGGCCAATCAGAGAAGTCGAACCATGTCAGGATTCAATGGGCGACATATTCCTCCTTCTGTCTCCATGGTCCAAGGGTAGGCAGGACACTTCGGTGTGCGAATTTCAGTGTGACGAGTCCCTGAGTCCCAGGTGGGGCGATCACTCTGGAGAGATGCGAGTTGGTGCCTGCAGCTGTCCCCATTGATGCTGGTGAAGGCTACAAGGTTCCACACATGTTCACCTGAACGCACCTGGACGTTCCCATTAAAAAATGATGTGCAATGGGCCTTTGCACCCATTGCCAAGTCGAATCGTGGTGCAGGGTTGTCACACATGTAAAACAAGGAGATTTATTGTTCATCCACTTCTGTGTGAACACCCTGTAGTGATTTGTAGTGTACGTACTCTTTCGCAGGCAATTTGCTTGGGCGAAACGGGCCAATGGCATTGCCTCAAAGTTGAGGTGGGACTTCCATGTTTTTTTTAATGAAGAGCAGCATGGGAAAGCTGACGGAAATTTGATGACCATTGGCGTGCCCTGCACGTTGAAGGTTCCAGGCAACTACGCTTTGGATGGCACTCCAGTCAAATTGATGAGGATGCACTTGTCAGAAGCTTGGTTGAACAATGAGTGCGGGGGGAGGCCTGCAGACTGGGTTGGGATAGGATGGATAGATATGGATAGGGGATCTCACACATGTTTGACACGCACACTCACACCTTTTGCACACCCAGGCAGACAATATCATGATGTGTGGTGCATGATACCGCCATGTGGCCACAATATGTTCTAAATTCCAAATTCATCCAAAATGACAAAATGCGCAAAAATCAAATGAGGGGCAGGGCATATGTCCTTGGCAGGTAAGGCAGGATTCTTTGAAGCAACAAGAAGCTTTTTGCTTGACCATTTCCAGTGAAATATGCTTTATAGGGAAGGAAATAGCAGTGATGTCATGTGATGTCACATTATGGCATGTGATGGCATATGATGGCATGTGGTGTGAAGGCATGTCCTGTTCTGGAAACTGACGTCGGCCAAGGAGCGAGCTGCTTTCACCTTTCCTTGGGTGTCAGATCCCCAAAGATTTTCCGTGAGAACTTGGCAGTTTTTCCCGACTCTGACTTGTCTCTTTTTGCGATATGGTTTGGTTTCCTATTTTTTATCAGATTGACTTCTCGGATCCTTCTGGGCCCTTCCATCTAAGTTCATCTAAAGTGACTGGTGACTTCGCAACTTTCAACAGAAAGATCCGAAAGCCACAGCCAGCAGCTGAACAGGTTTCAAGCGGATGCTCGCTGCTCTGGGGAGATCTTTTGTCCTCAGTGATGCCCTTGGGACCGTAGAAGGGGTGCTAAGCCATGCCGCGAAATGTGAGGTTGGCAGATTGCTATGAGGACTGTCGTTTGAGTGGCGCCTTTGAAGAGGCCCTCGGGATCGGTTCAGTTTTTGGTGGTTACGTGGATGAAATCTGTGCTGCGCCAGCGAAGAGTCTGAGTTACAGTCAAGCCCCAACACAAGCAGGGAATGATCGGAAGAAGTGCTAAGAAAATGATGCAAGTGATCAATGCAATGCCAGGCGTGTTGGCAATCATCATGCTGCCCCAGCGCAGAACTCAAGTGGAGTCAATTTAATTCACTTTAAATTTCTATATCTTGCGAAGGATATGACTCATATGACTCATATGATTTCTCGGATATATCGAGTTGCTGAAGTTTGTTGCTGAAAGGTGCCAGCAAAAGCGCCTACAACCATTCAACCTTGAACTACTACGTCCGGCAGCCCTGGAGAATTCCCCTCCCGTTGCCTCTGATCTCAGGGGAGATCACCTGAGGTGTGCAGCTCCACGAATCCCTGCATGGAGAGGTTGGGGTGTCGCCACAGATGTTTCCATCTGAAGTTGATGATAGTAGCTGCATGTAACTGTAGCTACATATAGTAATCCATAGTAATCCCTTCCTCTTTGTACATTTTTGTACTAAATACATCTAAATACCTCTCTGAACCCCCTTGTTCAGTATTGGATCTATTGGATCATGAACACACATCCCATCAGCCATATATTGACCCTGAACCACACCAGGTGTAACAGACGGTTTGTTTCGCAGCACTGCGGCAATGACGGCTCAACTCCCAGATTGATCTAGATTGATGGCAGATCGGAATCCTCTATCAATAGCAAGCCCAACATTTGGGGATGATTTTTACCACAAATTTATGGCATTGGGGATGGTTTATGGATGGTTTATGGCATTGGGTTTACCACAGAGGTTTTAGTGAACAGCGTGTATGGAGATGAAGGGCTCCATTTTGTGCCCGTGACACATGGTCAACCTTGAACTTTACCATTAAACGAATCACCTTGGGAACAGTGTGGCAGAAAGGGATTGGAAAGGCAGTTTTTTGATGTTTTTTGGGGTCCGCTCATATAAATACAACTCAAAGAGGCTTGTCACGCAAAAGGGTGACTTCAATATACTTCAATTGTATATTTTTCATGACATCCTGTCCAACAAAGTATTTGGAAGCAGGTGACTCAGGTGACCAGCAGCGACCACCTGCATCGGTGACCGGTCTTTTGTGCTCTGCCTGCTCTGCACAAGGTAAAACTTACTGCCCGAGTTTGGCCAACTGCTATGAGGCGTGAAGCTGTTGATCGCAATGTTGTCACCTTCAAGAATCCCACGCTTTGTCATTATTTTCCCATTTAAACCACCCATTTCGGAGTATACGCACACCCAAATTTTAGACACAACCTCATATAATAGAGGAGGGTAATTTCATTTGTCTTTTTTTTTCCGGAAGAATCGATAAAAACCATCAAGAAAGCGATGAACACCATCTAGAAAATCGATCCATAGTGAAAACCATGGAAAAAAGGAGAAACGATGAAAACTATGGACAAATTAATGAACAACATGGACAAATTGATGAAAGCCATGGAATATTTGATGAATTTCATGGAACATCAATAAAAAACATGGAACCACAATGAACACCATGGAGAAATTGATGAACATCATGGGAGAATCGATGAAAACAATGGAACTCCTGGAACCATCCATGAAAACAATGGAAACATCGATGAAACGCATGGAAACATCGATCGAATTCTTCCATGGTTTTCGTCGATGTTTCTCATAGGCCTTGTCGATGTTTCTATGGTTTTAATCAATTTGTTTGATTCTTTTTAATTTTAGATTCAAGCTTGCACACCTTCTAAATACACTACATAACATATATATATAATACATATTTTGCATACCTTGTATCCCTAAATACACCCTAAACCGACCCTAAATAAACCTTGAACCAACCCTAAGTAAAGACTGAACCAACCCTAAAGAAATCCGCATTCTACATGTTCACAAGGTGCATGTTCCCTTCCCCCAATCCCCCCCCTCCCGCTTTCTTACATCTAAACCCAAGCTTGCACACCTGTAAACACACTTCTCTACATATAAACAATATATAACCGTATAAATATATTATAAATGTCTATTTTATATACAATTATATGATATTATATGCATGATATTATAACACATGGAGAAACAATGAAAACCACGGAAAAATCAATGAAACCGATGGGAAAAATCGATAAACACCATGCAAACATGGATGAACACCATAGAAATGCTCGATGAAGAACCCATGGAAGACATGATGAACAACATGGAACAATTGATGAAAACAATGGAAACAACAATGAAACCAACGGACAAATCAATAAACAACATGGAGAAATCGATGAACAACATGGAAAAACCAATGAACACCATGCACAAATTGATGAAATTCGTGGAAAATCGAACCACGATGAAAACCATGGAGAAATTGATGAACATCATGGGAAAAATTGATGAAAACTTCCGAGATCGATTAAATCGATGAACACCGCCGAAAAAAAAATGAACACCCATGAAAAATGAAAAAATGAAGGACCGCAGCCTCCAGACCAAAAACAATGATTCCCATTAATTCGGCACCCTATCCCAACCAACTTGGGACCACAAGAAGTATCAACTCGGCACTGCGATTCAATACTTATTCCTCATGGCTTTAACACCTTATTGTTCAGGTTTTTGAGGTGGCGCATTAGCATATGGATGTTGGACACCGTTTGATATGAAGGCTTGTCGCCTCCAAAAGCGCGTGGGGAGTTGTAGAGATTTTCTCTGTTGCCCAAAGTTGGGAGCCCAGAGCAACTGTGCAACACATGCACCATCAGCACCAGAGATCACCAGAGGGGGTCGGAATATGTCGGAGTAACGTTGTTTGCCTTAGAATCAGTCAGCTCAACCTTCTGAAGTTTATTAAGACTCACAGCCTCAGCTTTGTAGCAAATCCTTGGCTCAAGGTTTTGCTTTTTGTACCGCTTGAGAAGCCCTCAGTTGGCTTTCTCTCTCTATATTTACCGCTGGCACAATGATGCCATTGCATTGGACTGCAATTGCTGTCCATTGCTACCTACTCTTGGCCCTTGCAGAAGCTGAATCTGAGACCTGTTCAGTGCAGAACGCCTCTTGTGGTCGAGCTCTTCTGCAGAAGCAGCTGACTGGATCTCAGGCAGCGAATTGTCGCCCCATTTTGATCCATTTTTCCGAGTGCTCAGATGGGGAGCATTGGAGAGCTCTGTGAAATGCATGACAAAAAACATGTGAAACATCTTGAACCACTTTGTGAATTGCTGCAATAGCTGAAGCTGAAGCCTGAGGTCTAAAATGTCCCTGTTGAATTCTATTTATAATATTTATATCTATTTATACATCTTACCTCTGCGCAGGTGGAGATTTTCGAGAATGAAACGCTGGGCCCTTCCCTGGGCCCACGGCACCAGGCGCCCAAGCCGCCAGTGACGGATCGGAAGCTCGCGCTGATGGCGCGTGCGAGGAGCCACAGGCTGAACCGTTCGAAACGTTGCTTGCCTTTTGTCCAGTTTGACGGGGGAGTTTCCCCAAGAGCCCAATATAATCCCAATATATATATAATATAATATATATATATTATATTACATATATATATATTATATTATATATACATAATTATATATATAATTATATATATATATATATTATATATATAATTATATATATATATGTGTGTGTAATGCTGTTTCGCCATCTGGAATTCTTGGGTACTGTACCCCATCTTCAGACTTTGGATCTACTGTACTACTGTTTGTTCCATCCTCATGAGATTGGTTTCAAATTGATTATCCCTTCAAGACGGATTTCAAGAAGCCTCTCAGCATGTCTTGCTGAGGCTCTCAGACAGAGGATTTAGACTCTGCCGTTTCTGCCAAGATCTTTGATGACATCGCAGATGGCTTTGAATCCGTTGGAGACGGCTTTTCAGAGCTGGGTGACACCTTTGAAGATATCGGCGAAGGCATTGCAGATGTGGGCTTAACGGTTGGGAGTGCCGTTGGCAATGCGGCCACTGTGGTGGGGAATTCCGTGGTGGAGGCAGCTGAGAGTACCGTGGATGCCTTGCCCAGTGAAATTAAGGATGCTGCATCCACCTTGGGGAATGCAGTGGTTGCAACGGGCAACTTTGTGGCTGATGTGGGTGAGGTTGTGGCAGATGCTGCTGTGGATTTGGCAGGTGATGCTCTCCAAGTGGCCCAGTATGCTGTGCAAGAAGGGGCCAAGGTGGGAAGTGCACTGGGAGACAAAATTGCAACTGCAGCTAATGCCATTGGTGATGGTATTGAGAGGGTTGGCGCCTTGGCTGTAGGCCTGGCAAAAGCTGCATGGGAGCAGATCAAGGCTTTCATCAATTGTCTCACTTCAGGCTTTTCCTTGTGTAAACTTATGCTGGGCAACGTGTGTGATTGCGATGCCGGGAGTACAATTTCCATGTCAACCTCTGGGCTTGGCATGCGGTGTGTGTTCAAGGCAGGTGGATTCTCCAGTGGCTATGGCTTCTCCGCCGGTGGTTCTTTCGAGATGGGCGACATGAGTAGCCAGGGCCGGATCAAGATTCCGGGTCAAACCTTCGTTCAAAGCTTCAAGCCAAAAGGAGATGAATTGAAAGCCCGGCAGGCTGGATCGTCAGATTTGGTAGCTGCGGCGATATCCGACGTCTCAGCTTCCCTATGACACACTGACACACTATGTCCTTTTATGTCCGTTTATAACTATATATAACATCCCCCAGCTAATTTCCCCTGTAGGTGCTGTAGAAAACGATTTTTTTATACAGGACAGGTCCCCCCCTCAATTTCAGCTGCCCTGTTTGCCTTGTTTTGGTGGGCTCTAATTTTATCTCAAACCTCCGGGTCCCAATTGTATATTTTTTTTGGGTGCCTAAATTTAGTGACCTAGGGCTCCAATTTAATATGAGGCTCCAATTCTATAGGGACATATGTCGGTTTTGTACGGTTTTGTTCAGTTGCCAATTTTATAGTGTATCAATGCATGGTTTCATGAAACAACTTGGTCACCAAAGGGTTCCAATTTTGTAGCTACCTGCAATGTGCTGCATGCCAGGGTCCCAATTTTATAGCACCTATTTGTTTTTGCTACATCAGAGCGCTCAAGCATGCGCAATGCGCATGCTGGAGAAGAGAAAAACATTAACAAAAACCATGATATGATATGAAATGATATGTGGGGATTTGATGGGATTTGATGGGATTTGATGGCTTCTTGCATCGTGCTTCCAAATGCATTAAGAAAAAACAAAAACATATAAACAAAAATGTCAGGTTTTGGGTGGACCTTGAGGGCTGCCATTTTATAGTCCCTAAAACCTTTGAAAAACTGCCTTCGAATCAGGGGCTCCAATTCTATAGGGTTCGATTGCTACAAAATTGGAGGTTCGAAATGGTTTGACTTTTGTGCCTTCGATTGATGACCCCAAAAATTCAGCCTGCAGAATTGGGGCATTACTTAAACTGAGATAAAATTGGGGACCGCACAATGGAAGGAAAATAGAGGGCCCCCCAAAATTCGACTTGGGACACCACATTTTAATTAAAGAAACACATAACATATGATCAAACTATTTTGGATGGCCCCAATTTTATAGAGGTCAATTTGGAGCTAGTACCACGCACACAAATGACCTGGGTGTCCCACTGAAGGGCATTTTCAAAGGATACAAATGGGTCCCCTATAAATTGGAACACCCAGGTCAATTTGGTGAATTGGCAAGGGGATCAAAATTGGAGGTTTGAAATGGTTTGACTTTTGTGCCTTCGATTGATGATGACCCCCAAACTTCAGTCTACAGAATTGGGGCATTACTTAAACTGAGATAAACTTGGGGACCGCATAATGGAAGGAAAATAGAGGCCCCCCAAAATTCGACTTGGGACACCAAATTTTAATAAAAAAACACATATGATCAAACCATTTTGGATGGCCCCAATTTTATAGAGGTCAATTTGGAGCTAGTACCACGCACACAAGTGACCTGGGTGTCCCAATTTTGTAGTGTTGTTGGGCTTGATGATATTGATGGGTTACTAGCAGGTTGTGATTTTATAAGGCTGATTATGTATGTGTCTGTCAGGGTTTCAATTTTATAGATGGCCACTGAAGGGCATTTTCAAAGGATACAAATGGGTCCCCATTGGAACACTCAGGTTAAATGGGTGTATTGGCAAGGGGATTATATAACACAATGCCCATGCTGTTTGGGTCCACGGGATGTTTGGAAGCAGTAAGAACGAGTACAGATGCTGCGTTCAACCCTTTCTTTCTCCAAGTATGTCCAAGTATGTCCAAGTAAGACATGGAACCAATCTTCTTGTATGATAGGACCTCCCTCCAGGTTGCGTTGAACTCTCAGAAGTCAGAAGCACCATCGGGCTCCTGTGAGTCCAATTTGGATATGGCTTTGGAGGGAGCCTTGGCATTCGACGGAATCGTGTGTTGGTTTTTGCATTTGTTTGGATGAGCCACTCAGTGAAAACTTGCCACCCCAAAGAACACCATCAACAGCTTTCACCCCTTCTGCTGCTGCAATGTTGCCATCATAGCCATCATTGCCATCATTGCCATCCAGGCGTAGTGCAGTTTGCCCCCATCTTGGACATCTCGGTCAAAAGCAATGGGGACACGGAAGTGGGCGTTGAAGGCTTGGCGAGGGCGTCCCTGGATGGATTGTTCAAGGTGTCTGGGCCGCAGCATTTGTTCCGTTGCCGGTCCGTTGCCCTTTCCATGGATCATGTATGTCATGGGGTTCCTAAATGCACAACAAAGGATAACAAAGGTATTTTATCTAACTATGCTATCATATCCAACTATCTACCCCAAAAGCAGGGTTTAGGTCCGTTTAGGTGTCCCCAACAAAAGGGGGTTGGAGAAGGCCTTTTGAATCTTTTGACGATGGTTGTGCAACATCCAAGGCAGAGGGGAGTTGCGCCTTCCTGGCAGAGAAGCGATTTCCCAAGGTCCCCAAAAGCAAGGTCCGCCATGGGAGGAACAGTGTCTGGTTATGGATGTCCCTGAACCTATCAGAGTTGAATACGCATGTACGATTGACCTCCTGGGAACGTTTCCTTGTCAAACAGATACTGTTGAACAGTGACTGGATTTTAGCGCATCTGGCAACAAACACAATCAAAGCAAAATATCATACAGTATCACGATCATCAACACAGGTATTTCTCACGTTGCCATGTTTGGATGATTTTGGGTCCCCCTTTGTAGAATCCCCCAGCAGAGTCACTGATGTCAGCTCCTTCAGGTGGTTTGTGGCCCCTTCTTTTGCATCGCAATCATGCTGCAGATGGTGGCAGAGGCCAGGATTCCATGGGCACAACTTTGGAAGCTGGTGTTTGGTCCATGTTTGGTTCGTGTTTGGTCCAAGTGTGTCCGCTTTTCGTGTTTCCTCAGTTTCTGAGCTCATGACATGACAAACAACTCTTTTGAAAAATGTTGGAAACGCTGCCAAAACTTCAGGTCGAGTTGAAGGGCGTGATAACTGGCAGTGTTGAGGTTGCTGCAAGTGCAGACTTCAGGATCAAGGGCAAGGCGGCTCGCTTGAAACGACGATAGCAAACTTAAATTTTGGAACGGCATTTTGGCCCTTTCTGGCGCGCGGCGTCCATACTGATCCATGTGACGAAATTTTGTTGTTTTGATCGGATCAGCACTTTTGCTACTTTTGCTGTGCTTCCTGAAATCACGCCTTGGCCACGTGAGGTTCTGATCAATCCTTCCGGCAAGGCAGACGTGGACTTTGATCTTCCCAGCATCGAGCAGAAACATGGCTTTGGTTTTGCTGCGAGTGCATCTGGCTCTGCACGCATTGGCATGGGGCCAAGCCTGGTGATTTTCCCAATGCCAGGTGTGCCGATTACCATCAATCCCATGATGAATGCAGAAGTCAGAGCAATGGGAACCCTCAACATGCCCGTTGGCTCCTTGTTACAGGAGTCTACCCAACTTGCGACACAGTCGCATGTATCTTGGGCAGCAAAATCTTAAAACTCCTGTACATTCTTTATGCAATATATATCATCTTTATATAGTTCAATACTCTTCAAGATTCCAATTGAGAACTGGTATCCTGCAATTGTCATGCTTGGTGCTTTTGGGATGCTCTCGGTAAGGTAAACAGCAGCAGAGTGAACCAAATTAGTCTTTGCGGTGCGGCTGCCCTGAACATCTACACAGACATTGAAATTCAGGGCTTCGGGCTTCCGGTTGCTATCACTGCTTCACTGAGCACCCACTGGATTCAGGATGGCATGGATGGGCGAGCTGGGAAGCCATGTCTCAGAAAAGAATCAATGATGGGGAAAGGAATCCACGTGGTTCATGTTCCTCTTGAAGGTACCCAGAATTCACTAAGGAAAGAATAACAGCAAAGCCACAGGCCATGGTTCTCTAAAGATTCTAAAGAGTGAGGATTCCACACGGCCGTGGATGCGTAAGCCTTGCAAGGTTGCAGAGTTTTTGGGTCAAGGATTTGAACAGGCTTGTGGAAAGACTTAAGGCTTAGGCTTTTTGGATTCGCCGAGCTAGTCCATTTTCCACCCTTTCAGGATGCTATTTATGATGCAATCACTCAGGGAGCAGAGGCCTTCGTGAGATTCATTGCCGGCCCTGCTATGTGCATCCCTGGTGCAGACGCTGCTCTGGACACGGCCATTTGGCGATATTGTTTGGCTTGACATGTGACACTCCTTTGCTATGTACATTAGTCCCTGCAATATACCCCCGATCCATACCAAAACGCAGACGATCCAGAACGATGCATAGGTATGGATCACCGCAAAACCATACTGTACATAACATTTTTTTTGAGCTGCAGCCACACACAGTAACACTAGTAACAGTAATGATAATAATGATAATAATGATAATAATGATAATAATGATAATAATGATAATAATGATAATAATGATAATAATGATAATGATAATAATGATAATAACTTAATAATCATAATGCTAATACTAACAATACTAACACTACTACTACTACTACTCCTACTCCTACTCCTACTCCTGCTCCTCCTGCTCCTCCTGCTCCTCCTGCTCCTACTGCTCCTACTGCTCCTACTGCTCCTACTGCTCCTCCTGCTCCTCCTGCTCCTCCTGCTCCTCCTGCTCCTCCTGCTCCTCCTGCTCCTCCTGCTCCTCCTGCTCCTCCTGCTCCTCCTGCTCCTCCTGCTCCTACTGCTCCTACTGCTCCTACTGCTCCTACTGCTCCTACTGCTCCTACTGCTCCTACTGCCCCTACTGCCCCTACTGCCCCTACTGCCCCTACTGCTCCTACTGCTCCTACTGCTCCTACTGCTCCTCCTACTGCTCCTCCTACTGCTCCTCCTACTGCTCCTCCTACTGCTCCTCCTACTGCTCCTCCTACTGCTCCTCCTCCTGCTCCTCCTCCTGCTCCTCCTCCTGCTCCTCCTACTGCTCCTCCTCCTGCTCCTCCTCCTGCTCCTCCTACTGCTCCTCCTCCTCCTCTCCTCCTGCTCCTCCTCCTGCTCCTCCTACTGCTCCTCCTACTGCTCCTCCTACTGCTCCTCCTACTGCTCCTCCTACTGCTCCTCCTACTGCTCCTCCTGCTGCTGCTCCTCCTACTGCTGCTGCTCCTCCTACTGCTCCTCTACTGCTCCTGCTGCTGCTCCTGCTCCTGCTGCTGCTGCTCTGCTGCTGCTGCTCCTGCTGCTGCTCCTGCTGCTGCTCCTCCTGCTGCTGCTCCTGCTGCTCCTGCTGCTGCTCTGCTGCTGCTGCTGCTGCTGCTCCTGCTCTACTACTCCTCCTACTGCTCCTACTGCTCCTCCTACTGCTCCTACTGCTCCTCCTACTGCTCCTCCTACTGCTCCTCCTACTGCTCCTCCTACTGCTCCTACTGCTCCTCCTACTGCTCCTCCTGCTCCTCCTCCTGCTCCTCCTCCTACTGCTCCTCCTGCTGCTCCTCCTACTGCTCCTACTGCTCCTCCTACTGCTCCTCCTACTGCTCCTCCTACTGCTCCTGCTACTGCTCCTCCTACTGCTCCTCCTACTGCTCCTGCTACTGCTCCTGCTCCTGCTCCTGCTACTGCTACTGCTACTGCTACTGCTACTGCTACTGCTGCTCCTGCTCCTGCTCCTGCTCCTGCTCCTGCTCCGGCTACTGCTACTGCTACTGCTCCTGCTCCTGCTCCGGCTACTGCTACTGCTACTGCTACTACTACTCCTACTCCCACTCCTACTCCCACTCCTACTCCCACTCCTACTCCGACTCCCACTCCCACTCCCACTCCCACTCCTCCACTCCTACTCCTCCTACTCCTACTCCTACTCCTACTACTACTACTACTCCTCCTACTACTACTACTACGACTACGACTACGACTACGACTACGACGACTACTACTACTACTACTACTACTAATATGATGTATGTATGTATATATATATATATCTATATTTCATATAATATCAATATCATATGATATGGAGATTTCAACAGGATAGATACATTGCAAGATCCCTCACAAGTACCAGCTTGTTGCCTCTCGTAATCGCTGTCAGTGTCCAGGTCATGAGCGCGGCGAAATCTGCTGCCACTCTCTTGAGCGGAATGATTCCCGACCTTCACGTGGACATCTCCACTCCCTCCTCAACGCTGCTGGCGCCCACCAAGCTGTTTTGCGTTGAGGCAGGTGGTTGATGGTGGTTGATGGTGCTTGTGGCTGCGCTGGCTATTTTTGCCGTATACCTGAGAATTGATGACCATTTACGGCGTTTGAATAGGGAAAACGATGATAACGCATCAAAATTTGGGGTGCCTTATTTTCAGACAAACCTTTGTCAGACATCAGAAGTTGGGTTCCGGAAGGTGTTTGAACATGTTTGAATCAGTTATAATCAATTATATACATCATTTTAGATCCAACAAATACTTTGATCCATTTGACCCGGCTTCCCCTTGCCAGCCACAACGAGGCAGTGAAGAGCCCAGGCTTTGACGGATCCTCATGTTCTCAAGATCTCGGCTGCCACAGCACTGGCAGACCCAGCAGCCCCATGGTACCTTGGCTCAGTAGAACTTCAGTTGTGAGATTGATGTGTATGTTTTTTTTTTAACAAAATTTTAAACAAGCCTTCAGACTGCTGTTTTTGGCAGGTGACACCTATACCTCCTGATCAAGTCCGCCAAACAACCGCACCATCAGCCCATTCGCCCAGCTGCTATTCGATTCCCATGGGTGATCGCTTCATCCAATTGGGCGATTGGCGTTGGGCTGCCATTGATGACAACCACTTCTCGGTGTCCCACAAGGGTGGCCAAACTGCCCAGATCTACAGGAATGATGGTACCTTGCACCCAGGACCCAGGACCGACTACAATGCCTGGGGTAGGTCTATAGGCCCTGCTGAAGGCATTTCCTTTGGATATCAATTCATCCAGATCGGCAAGTTTCGACTTGGACAAGTGAATGACAACCACTTCTCCATCTCACATAAAGATGGACAAGTTGTCCAAATCTTTCGAAATGATGGAACCCTTAATCCTGGCCCACGGACTGACCATTCAACCTATGACCGTCCAGGCGGAGCCGCCACGGGGATTGCTTTTGGAGATCGGTTCATCCAGATTGGAAAGTTCCGCATCGGTGATGCAGATGGTTGGCATGCCACTGTGACACACAGTGGAGGTCAAACCATTCAGATCTACCGTGGGGATGGGACAGTGCACCCCGGGCCTCGCACCGACTGGACCGCGCACGTGGGAAATCGGCTGCCGGTCTCATGGACGTGTCAAAGTTTGGAAGAGTCTTGGCGCTGGGATAATCAATCTATGGGATGGACAAACCCAGAGATGGTTCAAACTTGGCAACTCGAACTCACAGTAAAATGATATACCAAGACGCTCAAACCCTTGCAAAAGGGTCGTTGTACCATGTTGTACCCTTTTCATCCCTTTTCCATGGATACAGTACTTCCGGGGTGGTACTGTACCATGGTGTCAGGCCATTTGGATCAGTTTGGCTATTGTTCTGCATCCCAATTCTACAATGCGTACATCCAAGGAGATGGCACATGGCACGTGTGATGCCAAGTTTGGAACCTTTGGTGATCGCTTCATCCAGCTGGGCCATTGGCGTTTGGCTGCCATCGATGGCAATCACTTCTCCATTTCCCACAAAGATGGCCAAACTGCTCAGATTTACAGGTACGATGGTACCTTGCACCCAGGACCCAGGACCGACTACAATGCCTGGAGCAGGCCAATCGGCTATCCCTATGGCATCACTTTTGGACCCAGCTTTATCCAAATTGGCTTGTTCCGACTGGGTATGGTGGATAAAGAGCATTTCTCCATTGCACACAAGTATGGCTACGTCTCTCAGATCTTCCGGAGCGATGGGACTCTTCATCCCGGGCCCCGGTCGGACTATGACCTCTGGAAGGTTCGGAGCAGCGGGCCAGCGTCCGGCATTACTTACGGAGACAGATTTCTTCAGATTGGAAAGTTCCGCATCGGGGATGCTGATGGATGGCACATGCTTATAACACACGTCGATGGTCAAACCATTCAGATCTACCGTGGGGATGTGACACTGCACCCAGGGCCTCGCACTGACTGGACACATGCTCTCCAGGGCCGCTATCCGAAGTGGCACTGTGGTAACATTCAGCAGCTTTGCTCAGATTTGTCAGCATTAGGACCTGATTTTACTTGTTGAAGACGTTCAAGTGAGTTATAGTGGAGCATCCCAGAAAAAATTGATGTTTTAGGGGTACCACCAAATTTAGGAAACCTCCATATTTTTGTCCAAGTCGGTCGGATATTTTTTTCTGTGCTAACCTCCCTTTCTACACATCTTCAGTGAGATTGCACCGTGCTAAATCTCCGGAGCTATGCCACACGATAGGCTTGCGTAGTCTTTCGATCATTGTCCAAGTGATCAAGCATAGAGTTCATGTCATGCAAGTGCTTGATATATATATTATAATATATATATATATATTATATTATATATATTATATAATATGTGTATATATATACATATATATATATATATTATATAATATGTATATATGTATTTCATTGTGTTTCTACAGTTGCGCGCACGACTTCTCAATTGCCCCAGCATGTCTTAATGCGAGTCAATGTGAAAACAGTGAGTTTATGATACTGTGTATCAGCCATCTAGGTCACATATATACCATATAAATATAGGCATAGGCCATGTCCAGGCCATATATCAGCCACATATCAGCCACATATCAGCTATATATCAGCCATTTATCAGCATTGGATGCAGATGTGCCAGTTCTCCTGGATCGCTCCGAGGCTGGAATTTGGCTCTTGCACTGGCATCACTGGCGGTGGACGCTGGCTTCAGCTGGGGGACTGGCGAATCGCAGGTGTGGACAATGCACACTTCAGCATCTCCCATCGGGGTGGTCAGACTGCACAGCGGCTGGGTGGGAACATTAGAAACGCAACGGTTTCAAAGAATATTTGAGAACATTTTAAGATTAGTTTTTAGTTTTTGAGATCTGGAAAACTGTCCAGCATCAATCAACTTCACAGAATTTGTTTTTAAATTGCTGCGTGATTGTAACCTGACTGCATTTGGGACTCCATTGTAAGGATCTACCGCAGTGATGGCACCGTTCATCCAGGGCCACGAACGGACTACAACGTTTGGGGCTGGCAAGGTGAGTATCATGACACACAGGTGAAATTTGGAGATCACTTTCTTCAACTTGGATTCTTGGTATCAGTTTGAACTTTGAGTTTTTTGAGCCCTTTTGAGTCACTTTTGAGCCTTATATTTCCTCTCAGAAACACTTCTCTATTGTACTATCTATTAATTGACCTTTACCTGGAAAATACAATCTCTTCTTTGCGTTCTTCCGCTGCGCCAGGAGAATTTCGACTGGGCCAAGTGGATGAGACGCATTTTTCCATTTCTCACTCAGGAGGTCAAACCATTATGATCTTCCGCTCTGACGGAACCCTTCATGGTGGACCCAGGACACAAAATGTCACAACAAAAATGTCACGAAATGATGGGCAGATTGTGCGAATTGTCTTGTCTCGCTTGTGATTTCATTCTCAGCCCTGGTGCTTTTATAGTTTCATCTTGTTTTCATTTTGATTTTCCAGAGCTTCTGAAGGACTGACTACAACTTGTGGTGGAAACCCTTAGGGGAACCCATTGGTGTGACCTTCGGAGATCGCTTTGTGCAGATTGGGAAGTTCCGACTCGGTGATGTGGACTCGACACACTTCTCGGTGTCGCACGACGCTTGACGCAAAAAAATGGAAACTCATATTTATTCATATTTAATATGATACTAAGAGTAATATTTAGAATGTTACTCAAAATGATACCTACACTTATACCTTAAATGATAACGCATATATATATATATATTTTATTTTTTGAGGGTAATCCTTTGGTACCGCATTTTTGAGCGAGGCATACTGCCAAATGATGGTGTTGGGGAGGATTATTCCGCAGGTTCATGTCATGGTGGGACAGTTGTCGCCACTCTGCCAATCTGGTAGCTGAAGGTATGAGCATCAGAGTCCAGTGAAGGTCAAACATGAAGAACCCTATTGGTTGATTGAGGTCATTCTGTTGCATGATATTTCTATTGCATACTTATTTACATTGTTATATATATATACACATTTATTTACACATATATATATATATTATATTATATTATACTATACTATATTATATTATATTATACTATACTATACTATATTATATTATATTATATTATTTATTTTTTCAGCAGTTTTGTACGTGCTGTCAGGTGGGGGGCCAGACGATTCAGATCTATCGAAACGATGGCACGATCCATTCCGGACCGCGAACAGACTACACCACCTTCGGACGTCCGTTGGAAGAGTGCTTTGTCGTGGCACCATAAGAAACCGACGTGGAAGCCACGTCCAGAGACGTCTCGAGAGGTCCGAAGTCCACTAGAGATTCGCAGCCTGTTGCATTGTAGATGCATGTTTCAAATGTTTTCAAAAAAAATTAAAGAGTGCGAGAAGAGGTTGAAAAGAGTTCCAGCTGCAGCCGAATATAGCTTTCATCGTGATACACAGTTTGATGATGGCCTATTCTCAAAATGGCATTTTTTTAAATGTTTCTTTAGGTGGAAAACACTATGAGTACCCATCAAACCTATTTCATTTCATTTTTCGGGACACGAAAGCTTGAGGCAAGTGGACTCCTTCAACGAGTCCATCGAAGACTTCTATCGTTGTGTGGGACTTGCTGAACACTGGGGCGTGTCACTACTTAAATGATACGGGGATAGTGGGTAGATGTGGGTAGCAACCACTTTCTGGTCGCTACTGTAAACTCAATCTCAATACACGTAAATTCAGAAATGCGGGGTCGAAGCAGCAGCATAGCGCATTTAGACATGGAATCTGTTCGAATTTGTCGGCAAACCATGATGCGGTGACTTTTGGGGGATTGTTTCACCAGCAGGCCGATGTTGGCAACAACTGCCTGACCAGACGCTGCCTCAAATCTAAGTCGAACGAGTCTACATGAGAATCAAAAAACATATTATATCGCATTATAAATTATTGCAATATACTTGCCTACATATTATCTTATGGTGTCTTGCGCAGAGTGAATCACTGCTTTGCTCTTGTCGAATCTTGTCGACAAGCCAAATGCCAAGGGGCTCAGCATGAACGTACCCAGGCTGCAATGAAGTCCGTGATGCCTACCGCTACTGCGATGGCCGCAGCTACTGCCCTCAGTTGGCTGAGTGCTATGAGGAGCAGCTGAGCTAAGATTGCTTCAATCTTAGTGTCAGACCCCTAATAACACACCATCCATCACCATCCATCACCCCAATTTACCAGCTCTACCATTTGGAGATTAGACATCAAAGCCCCAAAATGCCGGGTTACATATGTTACATATGCTGATAATTGCTCTAATTCTTGATATTTGGCTGTACCACATGATTTGTTCATGTCGGGAAATCCGCGGATGTGTGTTCTGCTGCGCTTCTGTGCGGCGAAGAAAAAAGGTGGACGAAGTGTGGCTGTTAGATTCTTAGAGGATCTTAGTATATCTTAGAGGGGGCCTGTACATTCCTATTTAGTATTTTCAGAACGGTTCTAGATATTTTTGGATTATCAACGGATGGGTTGAACGAGACGACTTACAGACATCGATGCCTTGGATTCCACAGGAGTGCCACGGCTTGGGCATTGCAGCAGAGCTGTGTTCTTCTCGCAGCACCTGTTGTCCAACCTTTACGAAAACCAGGGGCGGTCCCATTGGTGCGATTCTGAACGCTGGAATCATGGCTTTGGACACGTTTGTTTGTCTGAGAATAGGGCATTCCTATACATTCCCACATGGTTTTTCTCTTTGTTCATCAATGTTTATCATTGTCATGATGTTCCGAAATCATTAATTCAAGACTGGACATCAGCAAAATAAACAGCTGATGCGCCAATGCCTGAGGTCAGAGATATGCCGATCCAGACTTGGGCTACTACACCTGCGATGATGGCGTTGCTTGCTTGGACGGGAGCAGTGAAATTGCAACATGGGGAAGAGTATGGACCGTCCATGACCGTCCACTATTTTGTGTTCTATTTTGTGTAGCACTAGATGAACATAGATGAACTAAGAAAGGTGGAGGACAGTTGCAAGATGGGAATTCTAGGCTTTGCTGTCTCTTTTTGGACTCGTTTTGGTGTTGTCCAAACATGTCCAAACACTCGCCTGCTGACTCTGGGCTCCAACTCGCAACAGCAGACAAATATTCTCCAGATCGACGAACTGACGTAGAAGTGACCTGGTATCACGCCATGCAAAGTGATGTCTATGATGTCTACTGCACACAGGCAAGCAATTCAGTATCTCTCTTGACTGCAAACACATAAACACATCATACAAGCAGTGTCCCGAAACAGGGGGTCCGTATTGACAACTCGATGATCCGCGTGTTGAGCTTCCAACCTTTCAGTGACCCGTTGATCCCTCTTGGGCAAGTCTAAGAGTCAGAGATGTAAAGATATTTGGGCATGGTCAAGATTGTCAACCCCCAAAATGGTTGGTTTATACCAAAGATGACCAGCTGTTTGTGCCCACTGGTACCCCAATGGCTTGAAGCATTCCCATATTTCGGTTTGATGTGCTGATTGCATGTTGAATTCATCACTGAGATGGCTGGCAAGAGGAGACGTTGAGCTGACAGATGTGCGGTGTTGGGTAAGCTGCTCATGGGGATTGGTCATCTATGGTTTATAGATGTTTATAAATGTTTATAGATGTTTGTAGTACCTATATGGGGGGTTCCTAAAGTGGGGGTACCCCCAAATCATCCATTTTAATAGGATTTTCCATTATAAACTATCCAATTGGGGGTACCCCCATTGATGGAAACCTCCATATATCACATATCACACATCACATTTACCATGTTGTTTTGACATTGGCATATGGCGTTGCCTCCCAGGAGCTTTCCGAATGGATGGACGCTGCCTTTGCTTCCCATCTTGGTACGCTGGCAACGATTTATTCGTGGTATATGACATATTAGTGATTTTATAGTATATAAACTTATAGTGATTTATCAAAGGAAGTTTCATGGAGGAAGCTGCGGGTTACGGATGGTTTTATTCTCACTAGCCCAGAGATCATTGTGTCCAGTTGGCATGTGCCTTAAGAGATCATGAAGTCACATTCTCACTAGCCCAGAGATCATGGTGTCCAGTTGGCATGTGCCTTAAGAGATCATGAAGTCACATTCTCACTAGCCCAGAGATCATGGTGTCCAGTTGGCATGTGCCTTAAGAGATCATGAAGTCACATTCTCACTAGCCCAGAGATCATGGTGTCCAGTTGGCATGTGCCTTAAGAGATCATGAAGTCACATTCTCACTAGCCCAGAGATCATGGTGTCCAGTTGGCATGTGCCTTAAGAGATCATGAAGTCACATTCTCACTAGCCCAGAGATCATGGTGTCCAGTTGGCATGTGCCTTAAGTTAGAGATCATGAAGTCACATTCTCACTAGCCCAGAGATCATGGTGTCCAGCTGGCATGTGCCTTAAGAGATCATGAATGATCATGAAGTCACATTCTCGCTAGCCCAGAGATCATCGTGTCCAGTTGGTATGTGCCTTAAGAGATCATGAAGTCACATTCTCACTAGCCCAGAGATCATGGTGTCCAGAAGAGGTAGAGTAGAGAGAAGAGAAGAGTAGAGGTAGAAGTAGAGCAGAGTAGAGAAGAGAAGAGTAGAGTAAAGCAGAGAAGTTACGATTCTGATTGTAGTTTGCAAGTCATTCTTGGCAGATCGCATTGGAACTGCTACATCATGGATGCAATTTGAATGTTAGGATTTGCACGAAACATGGTTTTTTTTCGGGTAAACGGAGGCTTCGTTGCGGAGAAAGTAGGCTCGCGCGCGACGGTTTTAGGCGTTCGCTTTAGCGTGGAATCATTCTCGATCTGCGCGCGCAATGTAACTGAGGGTTCCAGGTGACTTTTTCTCTTCTTTGTTGATGCTGTGATATAGTGTTTTGCATGTGTTGAGACACTTTGTGCATTGGAACTGGTACATCAAAGCGATGTGTTCTACAGTAGTGTGTTGCAATCCTATTGTGTTGTGCGGTGCAGATCGCACTGGAATGGCTGCGCCAAGGCTGCTCGAATGGTATTTGTTCTTCAGTAGAGTCTTGCGATTTTGATTGTGTTTTGCAAGTCGCCGTTGTAGATCGTATTGTAGTGTTTGCTTGAAAGTTGCGAATGGTGCTTTGGCAGCAGATTTTTCCTCATTTTGGTGCTAATGATTTTCCTTTTAAAATTTGTTTTAAAATCGTCGTTTTTCCGCTTGGGCGTCGAGCTTCGGTTTTGGAGCTGCAATTTATGTAGCCGTTGTGCGAAATTCTACTGTGTATTTTGCAATTCAGTCTCTGCAGATCGCAGTGGAATGGTTGCGTTAAGGTTTCTCTCTGCTGCGGGTGCATGCGTAATACTTTTGTGTCTTGCGTTTAGGTGTTGTAAATCGCATTGTAATGGCTGCATGAAAGTTGCGAATGGTGCTTTGGCAGCAGATTTTCCTCATTTTGGTGCTAATGATTTTCCTTTTATTTTATTTTTTTTTAAATCGTCGTTTTTCCGCTTGGGCGTCGAGCTTCGGTTTTGGAGCTGCAATTTATGTAGCCGTTGTGCGAAATTCTATTGTGTTTCGCAACTCAGTCTCTGCCGATCGCAGTGGAATGGCTGCGTCAAGGTTCCTCGCTGCTGCGAGTGCGCGCGTGATACTATTGTGTTTTCCAGCTGAGAGTCTTAAATCGCATTGTAATGGCAGCATGAAAGTTGCGAATGGCGCTTTGGCAGCATATTTTTCTTCATTTTGGCGCATCCTGTGTAGCAGCTTCTCTGTGTAAACGCTTGCTGTGTGTAAAAGCTTCTCTCTGCAAAAGTTTGCTTTGTGTAAAAGTTTCTCTGTGTAAAAACTTGCTCTGTGTAAAAACTTCTGGCAAAAACTTGCTTTGTGTAAAAGCTCCTCTGTGTAAAAACTTTCTGTGTGTAAAACCTTCTCTGTGCAAAAACTTGCTTTGTGCAAAAGATCCTCTGTGTAAAAACTTTCTGTGTGTAAATGCTTCTCTGTACCAAAACTTGCTTTGTGTAAAAAATCCTCTGTGTAAAACTTGCTGTGTGTAAAAACTTCTCTGTGCAAAAATTTGCTTTGTGTAAAATTATGACATTCTTACAGCCACAGCCTGAGGGTTCCAAAATATTTATTTTTATCAAAAAATTATCCCATCACCTGCTGAAAAATTATCCCTAGTACGTTTTGGAAATATCAAAAAAATATCACAGCTTGTGTTGGAAATATCAAAAAATTATCCCAAGTATGTTTTGGAATTATCAGAAATTTATCCCATGTATGTGTTGAATTTATTAACCATTTATCCCCTGTATGTGTTCGAATTATCAAAAAATTATCCCAAGTATATATTGGAATTATTAAACATTTATCCCGAGTATGTCTTGGTTGCAATGT